GCACTTTTATGGCATCTTTTTAAGATTTGGTTTATTTGTACACATTTTACAATTTGCGATAGATCTCATAAGCTTTAAAGACTTTCTCTTTGGCAGTAATACTATTTTCAGTCATTTCTTTCTAGACTTTACTGTTTTGACACACACTTTCTTCTACTTTTTTACATTTGAACACAGTGACAGAATATATCGTTTATTTTCTTTGACCATAACAAGAAAAACTGTTGGTCGCAGATCAAAGGCAGCTATGCACTACTCCCGTTTTTCTTCCAGGAGAAAAATATAGTCATCGCTTTCTTGCTTGTCGATGAGTTGATGAATACATTGCTGAAAATGAATGAAGAGCTTACATTTTTTTCATCTCATTGGGTTCTTTTGTCACAGCAAAGAAAATGAAGAATGTAATAACTTGAGGAAGCTGGGAAGTTATTACTATACCATTAGGAGCAAACTTGAAATAGGAGGAAGCCTGGTGTTCCTCACTTTTTCAATCTTTTACAGATGAAGTGATTTGGGGGTTGCAGTGAAAGCAGGGGAGATTGCATTCTGCATCTAACTGGTATCCAGCACTACACATAGAAGCGGAAGAAAACAATACCATAAACAAAGCTGATTTTAAAATGTCTTCATATTTGTTCCTCAATCATATTCCCCTAGGCCAGTGGTTCCCAATCTTTTTTTGCTAGGCCCCCCTCTGTTTTACAAGAAAAATGTTTGCGCCCCCCCCTTCCTGCACGTGCACACGCACATCCTCCAACCACACACACCCATATTTTGCTCCATTGCAGTTTCTTTCATACCTCAAACATTTAGTAAACAATTAAGCAAATACAAGTAATCTATAAAGTAAACTCTTTTACACTACGTCCACACCTACACGGGTATTTTTGAAAACGCAGGTGTTTCGTCCACACATAAACGGCGTTTCCTATCACCGAAAACTGCGATTTTTTTTAAAACTCATTTTTTTCCGTTTAAGTGTGGACGAGGAATACAGAGTTCCTCACGCAACGTCAAAGGTATGTGCCTTTTTTCACGTCACGCTGTGCGCCACGTTTACATGAGATGAAATGCAGAATGGCAGATAGAGACGAATGTATGTATACTGTTACTGTTAATCTGACTATCTTCAGATTTTACACGCTTACATACACACACGCAGTTACTGTCCCTCCATTTAGAAAGGCAGACGCATCACGGTGTAATTATTTTACTGTAGTTGCTTTTTTTCCTGTGTAATAATATTCAATATTGCTATCAATGCATTTTTCAAAAAATGCCTCTCTGTGCAAAATGGGTTTAAAAACACAAACAACTGTGGGACACTGTTTGTCTGTGATTTGAAGAGCCCAGCGCTGCTCCTGACACAGGGAAAACCAATTCAGCAGGGGAGACCTACCTCGGCACTTGTGCAGGTGAAACCAAAGGGCAGATAAGTTTCACCATATTTTCTAATCTTTGGCTTAGAATGAAGTTGGTTTGGAAACATATTCAGCGATGCTTCATCTCCTGCTTTGCATTTCTGTGGGCACCCCGTGCTAGCAGTGTCCAAGCGTTTTGTTTCCCCCCCTTTTCATACTGCGCCTCCCCCTGCAATGGCTCTGCGTCCCACAAGTGCAGGCCCCACACTTTGGGAAGGTCTGCCCTAGACTGTGATTACCCCAATCATCAAATCTGCCCAATCTGAATAGTAAGCAGTCTCTTCCACCACAAACATTAAGACAAAATTAGCCTTTCTGAGTCCTCCCAGAGCAATTTGGAGCCTTTTGTGGTCTGCCTCTTTGTGCTTGGCATTATCTCATAAACACGTTTTAATGTTAATTGAACATTTAAAGCAACCGTACACCTTTCAATATCAGACATAAACACATGCCTGCACTTGAAAGATAAAGCCTCTCTCATTGCCATTGGTGGAAACATCCACACAGACAGAGTCAGTGGTCAATGCCATCAAAATTCCCATCCACTATGTTTCTTTATCACCCGTTCATGGAGTCCTGAGAGCTGTACACATACAGAAAGCAGACAGAAAGAGATAGAATAAGTAGACACAGAAAGGCCACAAGAGAGATGGAAATAGGGAGGGGGGGGGGGGGGGGGGTGGAGTGAGAGGCATATACTTGTGAAGCTATGAGCTAAAGTATTTAAGTACTTCATTTTCTCCATAATGATTTTGTTCGCTTTTTTATTTAGGCCCTTCTGCTCATTAAAGCTAGACAGCCACAAGGTCAGTGTGTCTGAGGACATTGTTAAAACTGGAAATTTTGTGGCACAACCCTTAATTATCCCAGTTCATTACTGACCTTTGAACTGGTGTACTGCCCGTGTATCAGTATCGGACAAGTGACAACTGCTTCCTGACAATGCTTGGTGTAAATGGCCCAGGATTAACCTCTGTTGCAAAACTGAAAAACACACCTAAATGTCAATTACTCCATATGTGCCTGAGTAAATATGTTTTAGTTTCAAATACAAACATGCACACATAGTATGTCTTTGAAATCACCCAATTAAAAGGTGCAACATCTCCTGCAGACACTGTCACTGGAAAAAAAAACACACAGCCTCTCATCTATGCACTGCTTGTCTCCCCTCCAGAAAACGCAGAACCTCCCGAGTACAGGAACAACATTTAATGTACTGTCACTAGCCACAGTACTCGTACTTCCTGACAATCTTCTCCGCAGAAACGTATCAGGCTAAGTTAGAGTGACATATAATTTTCGAGAACTGATAGCAAGTATGATATCACCTTGCAAAACTGCTTTTTTCCCCAGACAGGTAGGTGGGAAAAAAGAACATCACCCTGAGGGCAAAAAGATACTGAAGTAACTGAAAGTCTTTATCTCTTGCACCGTTGCAGAGAAGAAACATTTTCTACAGCATAACTTTTCTCGCTTGCTGTCTGGCAAACAAAACACACACTCTTTGATTTTTTTTATGGTGTTAGAACATTATTCTCTGCAAATCCAAATGAATCACACATTTGTTGGAAGATGCTGAAGAGAGATCAGTATCTCTTTTTAGTCAAAGTTAGAAAATGCGAAGGTAAGATGAATCTAAAGAGCAAAGTATGAAAGGATTGTCAACTTTCTATGTAAAGTGCTCACACCTTTCAGCACTGACAATAAATGTAATCACATTATTACACTGCAACAGTATTCCATAAGGACAATAACTGTAAATAGGATGCTTTAAATATTCACGAATAAGCTTGTTCTGATGTTTTGGATTATGCTAAGCTTGGTACAGCTCACCACCTCATGGAAGATGGACTTAGCTACAGTGATGTCAGCCACTGGTTTCTAATGTCCTGCTTTGAAACCTTGAGAAGAACTGTTGTGCCATTGTTATCATGGTTGCAAAAAATAGGCATGATGAGGAAGCAGGTCTGACTGTGAATTCAAAAACTCATTGGCTAGTGACTTGTGATTGACGTGTCATTAGCCAATGAGCGTGGACTTTCATATAACAGGTAATGTTCTATTAAAAGATAGACGGGAGCCCATAAGCTCAACGGGAAAGTGTTTACAGATCAAGACAAAAAACTTTTTCCCACAGACTTTCCCTGTATTTTTTACCCTCTTCAGTTCTTTCAGGACAATAATGGAGAAGCATATAAAACCAGCACATCTTTGAGACTTCTTAAAATGTTCTACTTGAAAAGATGTAAAAGGTTAATAAGCATCCTCGATAAAATGTAACAAGCTTTAAGTAATTGACAATGTTCAGGACCCATTCAATTTTTTTGCTTAAAAGCAATTGTTCATAACTAGCAATTCTCAGTCACACAAAATCAAGATATACCAAAGAGATTTCTGATAGCCTGGGTTGTCAGTGTAAAATTGGAGCTATGCAACAAGAGAAAAGAAAAAACTGTAATGCTGTAAATCTTTGCAGACAGTATGGACGGGCCTCTGGCTCAGAAATGAGACAAAAAGCACACGCTCCTGAGTACATTTGTATCCTTATTTTTCTCTCCTGACAAAAGTGACATTTTAAACCAAACTGTCTCCTCCAGCATAGACAATAAGCCATTTGGTTCCGAGCATTGTAAAAGTCTTGACATACACCTACACACATGCAGCCATCCACACGTGTGGGGAGACAAGCAAGCACTCACATACTGTATCTGTCTTCCCTGAAGTTATGTCAGTATAATTCAGCACCTAAGAGACAGTCTTTCTGTAAGATTCTCGACAGCTGGTATGTGCAGCACAGATGCAGAGCATGCCAATAATCTGTTGAGATCCTTTTTTATTCTCCTAGACTAGCTGAAGACAGATTTAGAACAGCACCACTTGGTCCACATGAATGAACCTGTCTCCCTGAATACGCTTTTTGGTTTTTTTTATTTTTTATTTATTTTTTTGTCCCCATGAAGCGAGTCTGTGGTGGTAGGCGCTTTCTCACATTATTTCATCTCTTTTCAGTTCTGGGAATTGAAATGTAAAAAGTGTAACATCTGGTGATTGCTGGTTTTCATTCTGGCACAGCGGGGACAACAGAATAATGTGAAGATGAAATTAGACGAGGAAAAAGAGATATCTAGGACTGGTGGAGCTCTTTTTGCATTTATGCTCTTGCTGCTCTGGCAAAAAGCAGTCAATTAAAACCCTGCATTGATGTGAGGATTATGCTATTAGTTGAGACCAGCATTCTCATTAGCTGCTGTGCAACTGTTAGACAGAACTATGTGGTGAGAGAGAGCAGGAGAATTTATCTGCTATAGTCTGATGACCATTAGTTTGCTTTGCTGTCTTTAGTAAATCTGTCTTGTCATTTTTCTTTTACTTGGAGTGTGGCCCAATAATTGTGTTTCTAAGCTCTGGAATTTTCCATCATCTGGTTGCTCACAGAGCTTTAAGTTTACCCATAGTTTAACCTCAAGTGTCAGTTTATCCCTATAATAACCTTGGGGGCAAAAAAAAAGTGTGAAGTTGTGGTGGGACAACCAATTCCCACAGAGTGGTGGAGAGTTTTTATTTTAAGCACACACATTTACAGACATGCCAGTGTTAAGGACTTAATGTCTTGCAATGAAACCACGTCCTAAAAAAAGAGACGATAATGACAGTCTATAAAACCGTGGATGTTAAGGAAGGTAGGCATCTTTTTAAGGACTACAGTCCAGTTTCCAGGTCCATTTTGCTTTTTGAAAATATTTATCATTGGTTGCACTAAAACTACCATTTTTTTAATCGAAAGTGCAACATTAATTAGATTTAGTAAATTAAGAGCAGCAAAAAAAAGAAAACACAGAGTTTAACTTCTTTTGACCCCATTTATCTATTAGAAATAGTTAGTAGCACTAATATTCAATTAAAAAACTGCAAGCTCTCATCTTGATCACTTGACTGTGTTAATTTGGTTGTTACGTACTATGTATAGGGATTAATAATTACTAGGCACTTATTTGTATAAGTGAGTTCACTTCATTGTGCTTAACTATCTTCCAGATTTACATAATTACAACAATTTAAATTCATTCAGTGGAACACTTGGAACTGATTTATGTGTATATTCAACCACAGGGTAATTGTCAGTAGCTGCATGTTGTTACATTTTCTGTAGGGTGCCACTCAGATGCATAAACTAGGTGGTGACAGCTGTGTATACTGATTTGATCATCAAGTGTGCACTACAATTAACCTACCATATCCAGACTAACACTTGCAGCAACCGGGCACACCCCGCCCCACCCATTCTCCCAACACACACACACACACACCATTCTTCTTTTCCTTTTCTTTCTTTTTTCCACTAACTCAAGCTCTCATACACACACACACACACACACATGCACACGACAGGCCTAAGGCTCCCTTCTGTACTGCAAACAGTGTTTTATGAGAAAATGGAAACTCAATCAGACATTATCATATGATTAAGAATGGGAATTAAGATTCAAGGAGAAGTCAAGCTAATTTGAAGTGGGTTTTGATTGTACTAATTATATAATCTTCTCAACTCCCACATTTATATTTTTGCCCATTAAGAAAAATGTCTTGAGAGTGTGTTGTGGTGTTATATTTCTGGATGTATCTAGCTGACACTGGCTTAAGAAAGAAAACGATAGTACTACATTTGCAATTTTGTCACAAGCATGTAGTTTTCATTTGCTGAGGTGTGTCTCTTTCACTTCATTATCAGATAGTGAGTACCTAGAGACAAAACTAGCATCTTTGGTGCCATTTTTATGTCACTCACTGGCATACAAAAGTGTTTTTTCAGGTAGCGGATGCATTTTAAGTTAACAAAACCCTTCAGCACACAGCTACTAAACTACTTTCTGGTTCCTACTGGGAGATGTGTCTTTGTCTTGTCTGCTAAAGGCTAACAAGGGTGCATTAAGTGTTTTGTCTATGGATTCTTGGAAATCAACACCAGTCTCTTATGGAAAAATCAACACATTGGCAGGATTTTAGCAGCAGCTGCAGTCCTCTGTCAATATCCACAAGGGAGCACCGAATACTACACACTGCTATGTGTTTAGTAGCATCTTGGCACAACACAAATTTCTTGTAGTTACACATAAGCCTGAATTTTAGGTTTCAGTTACATGTGTGCAACCTGGGCCGTTATGAACATTCTGGTTAAACTAAAACGTTACCTCATCTCTTTCATGTGGTAAATAAAGCAAAGAAAAATGCCTGTGGAAAAAAAGACACATACAATCGGAGCAGTCTAAGAAGCTGTTGTTTCACTGCCAGTTGTCGGCTTCCCTCAAACACTATAGTTATAGTGAGATAATATAATGCAAATGCAAATGCACATTTCTGCCACAGCTCTTTACACAACTTTTATTTTCTGTATCATTCTTTTGTAGATAACCACACAATGGCATCCCAAACATCAGTGAGCATTCGGATACTTGATGTGAATGACAATCCACCTGAACTGGCCACACCATATGAAGCCTCGATATGCGAAGATGCCAAGCCAGGTCAGGTATGTTTTCTTCATAAAACACAGACTCAAATAATTTCATTTAGACTGTGATCTCAGAAATGTAATCTTTGTATTTTTGATGTAAAAAAAATCCTTTAAAAATTACTATTGCTCTTTGTTGAGCAAGAAGCTAAAGAGTGCTAGTCAAGTAGTTTTCACTATAACATGTTAAAGGTGAGGACCTTTGAAAACTGTACCAAAACACTGTGCCACAGCACACACATATTTTATTAGCATCCGAATAGAAAAAAATTGCCACAATGTAATATTATCTGTGTTTCTTTAATCTGAAACATCAATATTACTGCAAAACAGCACACAACCTACTTAAGGCACTTTTGACAGTCATTTTTGACATGAATGGCCACAATACTCAATGAGAAGTTAGGTCCGTTGTTACACCCAACAATACATGAGATTTCTGTTTTTAATTTTTTTTAATACTTTTTTAGAGGGGGTTGTGTTTAGTTATTAGTCCTCATTCACTCCACTAAATAACCAAAGCCAAAGTGTTTTTAAGCAGAGGAAGTATTTGGCTCAAAATGTATGAAGATTTGATTATGATACCAGCATATTTAATTCTGTGGTTTTGTTTGATTTAGACTAAATTACTTAGTCACAAATATCAGCTTGCTTTCAGGCATATTTGTAAATTAGAAGCTTTTTCTATTTCACACTTTTGGTTAGTTTACATCATAAATGAAGTCAGGGGACACATGCAGCATAAAGGATCATGGATGTGAAACATCCATTTTGGATATATTGTAATGATTCACAATATTGAATATTATGTATGAAGAGTATACAGTGTCTTTGGAAGTGGCAGATAGAAGGAAAAATGGTCACCAAAATTGAAACATTACACAAATATTCAAACAAATGTTTGATAAATGAACAAGGTTTTTGCATTCCTCTGATTCCATGTAATGTATCATTTGGTAGTGACTTCTGTATTCTTTTGTTTAGTATTGTTTTTGCTTAGCATTATTGCTTTCACTTTTCTACTGATAACCCTGCAGTGGGCAATATGAAGAACAGGGAGTAAGTCTCTGACGTAAAGTCTGAAGAAACTGGACTTATCAAAAGTGTGATTAAATTGTTTTTTAAAAAAAAAACTGCCCTCGTGCATTTGACAGTGGAACAGCCCTCGTGGTCTTAGCAGGAATGCATCTCAAAGTCTATGTGAGATGCATTCCTGCTCTGTGTGTGTGTGTATGTGTGTGTGTGTGTGTGTGCGTGCATTAAAATGTTTTTGTACCTAGATTACAAACCAGCCTTTTTATTCTATTTATTGTCTTGTAATTTCTGATTATTTCCATATTTCTGCAGAGCTCCACACTATGATCTGTTTGACACTTAACACCAAAGGCTTTAGACTCAGCTCTAGGGCAAAGGCACAAATTCCCCCACGGGTCCTGTGTCAGAAAGTAAATTTCTTTCCAAAGTATTTATTTATTTGCTATGAATTAAAACATTATTATAAAATAATTACAGATTATGATACTGGATATCTATCCCAGAAATGTATTTGATTGGATTGATTCAGTCATATTGTTCCACCTGCCAAGAAGTCTTTTAAAACTTCTTTCTTTAAAATGTCACTTAACAGGCTCTTCATGAGAGAGACGTCTTTCCTTCATGACAAAACCTTGATAGAATTTTAATTCTACTTATAATGTTTGCCCATAATTCTGATATGCTTCAGTTATGCCTTTTTCAGGTGTTTCTTTTCTTCTTATTTAATGAAGACAGGATCTGTCTGTTGAAAGTTGTTTCATTGTGGGAAAGAAAGTGGTTTCTGATATTTGATTTAATAGCATCTTATAATCCAATCAGGGCTAAAACGGCAAATAGTGCACTGTTTAAATAAAATTTAATTCAAAGAATTTCAGTCAGTTCACCCATTCATTCATTAATTAATTTTCTAAATGGAAAACATATAAGCCCTGCGATAAAACATTAATGCCCAACAATCAAACAGTGGGAGTCTGTGCGGAAATCAAGACAAAGGCACTGATGTGGCTATTTTCAATCCAATAGAAGGCCAGGTCTTTCCACTGATCACCATTAAAAATGGACAAAGTCATTAGGGTGTTATATTCACCTTACATAGCCAACAGGCCCCGAGCTGAGTTAGAGCCAATTATCGTGTGCAGAGCAAAGGAATAATTAAAACAGCAAGGCTTTAAAGTGGGGCCTCCATGCTGGAAGCTGCATTTACATGTGTAATGAGGCTCAGGCCTCTCCTCCCCTTGATCCACAGACTCTTAACCACTTATAGCCCCCCTGTGTCTCCGCAGTACCACCAGTCTGTGCCTTTCTAGAACGTTGTCTGGTCTGATCTCCCTCACTCCCACCTCACTCCATCTCCCATCTGTGAGAGCCCACATTAACCTTCAGCTCCTAATCACATAGAGATGATTAGTCTTCCAGCTAAAAAGATCATCGCTGGCTCCCAGCATTGTAAAAGAAAAGGTTTTTTAATGTTCTCATTAGAGAGAAAGGCAGTGAAATATTTCACATTGTAATTACAAACTAAAAGTACATGCACAAGACTGTGCTGTCTATCCATCCGTCTCTTGTTTCATTTTATTTATTTATTTTTACTATCATCCTGTGAGGTTGGCAAATGGCAGGAACATCTGTTCCTTTTCTTCCGTTTTCATTTTTTGTGTTTTCTCTACAGAGTCTCTTTCAATTTTGTTATGGGACGTTGAGTAGGCTGTAAGGATTGAAATTAATTGTTTAAAGCATTTTCAGCCTCACATTCATGCTCAAGGGTAACCAATGGGATGACGTGCAGGAAACAATTTGACCCCCTTTGTAATTTCCATGGATAATATAAAAATGGTTTCCTGTAGACACTGTGAGTCCCTACATATTAAAACATAGAGCAAGTGGTCTAAAAAACAATTTTGTTTTTGGATGTTTTATGATAAGAGTTCAAATTTAAAGTATTTTTTCACAGATGAGTGCTTTTTTAATTTGTTTATTTGCTATTGTTTTTTATTATTAAGTTGGGTGCAGACATTTCACATTTTAGATCAGAAGTGTCAAGGAGACACAGACAGTTGGTCCACAACCAACCTGTTAACGTGTCCAATTCAGCCGCTGGATGGCTTTGCAAAGTGTCATTAAATTACTTATGTTACGTCCAACGTGGCAGATGTGTGGAGTTGTAGATTAGGACCCAAGATGCAGCTTGTGACGAGAGTGAACTTCATTTAGTAAGGAGGATGAAAAACAAACAGAAACGGCGAGGCGAGAATAAACTTACACTGGAACAACTAACAAAACAAACCTAAAACCAAACCCAGAGATGTAGGGAGACAGAGAGACAACGGAGGGAGATACGCAGGAAGATGGAGGGGAACAACACAGACGAACCAGCAACTACTAAGACAGAAGACACGACTTAAACACACTCAGAGAAACACAGGGAGATTACACACAGGTGGGGGACACAGCTGGGAGTGATTAACATGACGAGAGCAGGGAGGCAAACTGAAAACACTCACATAAGACGCAGACCTTCACAATAAAACATACACGTAATGACACAACACACAAACTTAACACAGACTCAGAGACGCGGACTAAACTAGAGATGGCACGATACCACTTTTTTATGTCCGATACCGATACCGATATCATAAATTTGGATATCTGCCAATACCGATATGAATCCGATATAGTGTTTTTTTTATCAATAAAACG